GCAGCTGTACTGTCTGCCATCCCACCCCCCAAAAAAATGCCTGGAGATGATCAGCCAGGCAATCCCAGAGGTGCCCAGGAGTGGTTTTGGTGGCCACGTCTGAGTTTGGACGTGTAGATGTTTCTTCCTATTAAAGGTGTCCAGATCTGGGCGTTGGGACACATGTGCGCCATTGAGCCCTTTCCCTACAGACAAAACAGAGAACCAGTTGCTCCCACAATACTCCTCACCCACCTGTGTACTGGCAAACACAGTGTCCTGCAAACACAGCACACGGGATATCTTGTTCTGCTCTTATGTTTAGGGGGAAAAAGCACACATATTTTAAAGACATATTTATTTAATTAGTTCTGTTATGTTTCATTTGAAAGCAGAGTTGCAGAGAGAGAGAGAGAGAAAGACTTTCTGCTGATTCACTCTTCACATAGCTACAAGGGCTATGGCTGGGCCAGGCCCAAGCCAGTGGACCTGGAGCTCTGTCTGGGTCCTTTGTGGGTGACAGGAGCCCTCAGGTCATTTCCCACTGCTTTCCCAGGTGCATTGTGAGGGAACTAGATCAGTAGTGGAGCAGCTGGGATTTGAACTGGTGTTCATAGGAGATGTCAGTGTCACAGGCGATGGATTAACCCCACTGTACTACAATGTGGTTTCTATTATAAACAGTTCCTTGGTCTGTTAATTGTTTTACTTCATATGAAGATACTTCAAAAAGCTTATGGAAAACTGGAATTTAAACATAAGTTTATCCAGGTATAAAAAATGGAAACCCACAAGTTGTTTCCTTTGTTTTTAAGGAGGGATAGGAACCACTGGTTCGCGCCCCCAGAGCCTGTAGTGGCAGGGCTGGGATGAAGCCAGAAGCCTGGCAGAGAGCCCAGCACTTGGGCCATCTTCTCAGCTGGGAGCAGAGCAGCCAGGACTAACCCAAGCTCCGGTGTAGGTTGCCAGAATCACAAGCAACAGCAGTGCCCCAGTGCCAGCCCCTATATGAAGTTTTCTCACGATACACATTTTTCCAGAGCCTTTCTGAAGGCTACCAGACATGCATGGTTATCAAACTTTTTTTTTTTGTATCAAAATAAATTTACTTTTTAAAATTTACTTTTTAATTCTATTTTCCTTGGGCTTAAAAAAAGTATTATGTAACTGAAAGATTCCCAACTGCTGGTTCACTCCCCAAAGCCAGTAGCATGCATGTGGGTGACAGGGACCCGAGTACCTTAGCCATCACCTACTGCCTCCCAGGTGTACTAACAGGACGGTGGATAGGAAGTGGAGGTGGAGCTGAATCCTAGGCACTCCAGTATGGGCTGTGGGCATCTCACAGTGGCATTACCCAATGCACCACAATGCCCATTCCTCTGTGGACTTTCTGAAGTGTCCCTGTATATTCTATGGAAGGCCTCCTCCTGTACACCCTGGACTCCTCTTGCATTTAGAAAAGGCTTTTCATATGCTAATCGCTCTCTGGGACACACTCCTCAGCACTGGGCTTCCCAGCCTCTTCCCTCGGTGGGGGAGAATTTCTTTGCCTGTCTAGTGACAGCTGCCCATGTGGGAATCTTCCCACTGCTGCTACAGTGGGAAGATCCCCTGTTCAGATTACCAGGGGATTATCCGTCACCTGTGAAACTGTCCCCACGGTGTCAAAGCACCCAGGGCAGCAGGGCTGCTTGTTCCCTGTTGGCCACACCTGTTCCAGAGAGCAGCGAGGCTCAAAGACCTTGACTCCTGGACCTCCCCATTTCCCTGCAAGCCTCCTGTGTCCCCACCCAGCAAGAAGAACAAGGGCGGTGGCTGCAGTTTATCTTTGCTGATCAGTGTTTTATTGTAGGGCAGTGTTGGTGTGGGGAGAAGGGGGCAAGTTGGTGCAGTGTTCCCAGGTGCACACAGCTTAGCTCTGGTGCGCACACCTCACACATACTTTGGATGCCGCTGTCACTGAAGCGAGGGCTGCTTTCAGTGTCCCCAGACCTGAGTGTGTATCTTTCCTGTCATGGACTCCATGGCAGGGACAATGGCTTGGGTTTCCCTTGTTTTGCTGAGTACCACCCAGGTATTTGGAGGGAAGACCCTCAGCTAGAGTTTGGTGGTTTTCTCATAGTTGAAGGTGGGCATGAATGAGAGGAAGACTTGGTCTTTTTCACTATTGCTCACTTTATAGAGTGTGTCAGGGTTCCAAATGGCCTAAACTCTTGGCAAATGGTTTGTCCTTTAATGCTCTCAATAAATTTGTCAGTCAAATATTCATCTTACCGAAGGAGGAAGATGGCCCAGAGAGGTGCACAACTTGCCTGACGACACACAGCAGTTGGCCCAAACACAGGTCTTATCGGACCCTAAGAAAGCTCCACTAGTGACCCAGCCCCACTCCAAACAGTGAGGAAGCCACGCATGCACCTTTTCACAGCCGTGTGTATTTATATCCAGCCTTTTCCCAAAAAGCCTCGATTGCAGTTCAGGTAGGGTCACAGGAAAGAAGCAGACGGGAGCTGTGGCCTGGAGCTCGCTCCCGTGAAACAGCACAGGCCACTGTAGCTCGCATTCATGTCCCGGAGCGTGTGGTCATGAGCTTGGCGCCTGCAGGTCACATATCTCAGCCTCTCCAAGGAGGCCATGGTGGCCAGCAAAAGCCCCAAGGTGCACCGTGTGGTACCCAGGGTAGCGGGGCCAGTGTCTACGTGGGCTAGGTAATCCAGCATATTTCCCCTTTCCGCTGCGCTGTGCACATCCTGTGCGCCATGGCACCGTGGCAGTGCCCCTGGTTTCTGTTACATCTGTGTCCCTGTGGTCTGGTGACTTCACACCTGCTCATGGCCACCTCTCAGCCTCTCATGGGAGTCCCCAGCAGCACCAAGGCAAGGCCATCAGTGCCTCCTGAGACTCTGGGCAGCTGCCATTGCTTCCTAAAATAGGATTTTCCATTTAAAATGGAGAGCCCTCCCCAAATGCCCACATCAGTTGGGGCTGGTCTAGACTGAAGCCAGGAACCCTGAGTTTCATCCATGTTCTAGCGTGGATGGCAGGAAGCCAAGCACTTGGGTTGTCCTCTGCTGCATTCCCAGGCACATCACCAGGGACATGGAGCAGAAGTAAGACAGCTGGGATTCAAGCGCGTGCTTCGATATGGGGTGCTGCTGTTGTGGGCAGCAGCTCAGCCTTCTCCACCACAACACTGGTCCTTTTACATATAATTTTTAGAAAGTAGCAAGAAATCATCTTCCTGAGGGTGTTGGCACCAGTTGGTTGTAATACAGAGATGCCCACTTGCCTCAGTTTACTTAGTGCCATGCACATCGGCTTGTTAGCACAGCAATCATCTCCTAAGTGGCGAACACCAGCTGTGCAGGCACAGGGAGCGGAGCAGGTGAAGGTCTTTGCTCTGATGGACTGAGCCTCTGGCAGGGGAGACAGATGATCAATATTTGAACTTGGTGGTTAGGGACATAAGTTTAGAGCCAACCACCGAGCCCTGGTGTTCGCCGATAGTGCCCAGGACAGGTCGTGTCGTTAGCGCTGAGTCATTGATTGCTGAGCACTGATAGCGTGGCAGCACACTCATGGGGCACTGGGATGGGCAGAAAGAGGAAGGGCAGGCCCATGAACTTGACTTTGGGGAGCAGTGTGTCATGGGCCACAGCAGCCACTGGGATGGTGGCCTGGACACCTCTTGTCAGTACACTGGGGAGAAGAGAGAGGATACAGTGCACTGCTGCCTCCACCTCCCTGCCCGCCCTCAAGGCTTAAGCAGCCTTCTTGCCCACTTGCAGCCACGTGGGAACCTGCAGGCTGTCTGCCTTCTGCTGCCCTTCTCCCAAGTGTGTTTTCCTGCAGCACTGTCAGTGATAGCCCTGTGATACCCAGGCCACAGCTGGAGCTGCAGGCCTCGCCACACCGGCCTGCCAGCCTCTGTAGGTGGCTCAGCCAGTCCTGACCACTCACAGCTTACAGAGTGTAATAGATACTCAGTAAATACCCATTGAGTGAATGAAAGAATGAATGGAAAAAGAAAAAAATTGATTGGTCCCTCTTCCTTCTTGAACCCACTGCCTGAGCATGTGAACAGAATTGAGATATTTGCAGGAGTCTGCTCTCGGCCTCTCCCTGCCCACCACCGTAGTCAGCTTGGGTAGGTGGACACTGAAGTGGAGAGCCTTAGTCTGAGGGTGAAAGTCCCATGTCGGGCCATGGGCTTCAAGCAGCATTGCCCTCCCCTGTGGCACAGCGTAGTAGGCAGGACACTGGTCCTAGAGCCCAAGGGCTGTGCCCAGTCCTGACTGGGTTGCACTCAGCGGAAGAACTGTCTGAACCTCAGCCTTACATGTGCAGTGCAGGTGGCCCCTGTGCTGGGTGGTAATGAGCACCCAAGGGCGGGCCCAGGGGAGGCTGCAGCCAGGCTGGGTGATGGGATCTGGGGGAAGTGGGCTCCTCACCCCAGGGGTGCTGTCAAAATAGGAGATGCCAGGGTGGTGATGTGCCCTTTTGGGGGACCAGGAATGGGTTGAGTTTGAGGTGTCAGTAGGTTGCTGTGGGGAGCCCCGGCATGGAATTTTTGGTTGGGCTGCTGAGAGCCATTGAAGGACATCGTGCGTGAGAGTGGGAGTGTGGAGTTTGTCTTCTGCAAACAAGGGTGTGGATGCTGAATGGGAAATGTGTGGCTGGCAAACAGGAGGAAGGAGAGAACCCTTCCTTCCCCTCCAACCCTGGGTTGGGGAGGAGGCAGCTGTTGCTGCTGTCTGACCTGTGGGCTGCCAGCTGTTCCCTGAAGATCGGAGCTAAACCCCGGCTCGGTGGTCTCAGGCCCTGCTCAGCCCATCCCAACACTGTACCTTCAGTCACACCTCCCCTGCAGCCCCTGGTCCCCTGGGATGGCCGAGTTGCTATCCCAGTCTCACCTGCATGTCGCCAGGGTGGGGATGATCACAGGGCCCCTCTCGCAAGCTAGGGACATTGTGCCTGCCCTCCTAACCACGGGCATCTCTTTTCTGTCTCTACTATAGCCAACCGGGTACATGGAGAACTCCGTTTCCTACAGCGCAATCGAAGATGTGCAGCTGCTGTCCTGGGAGAACGCCCCGAAGTACTGTTTGCAGCTCACGATTCCTGGGGGGACCGTCTTACTGCAGGTGGGTCCTGGAGCATGTGAATACGCGTGTCGCTCTGCCACCTCCCCCATCCTGCAAGGGACAGGGCCAGCTGTCAGGAGGCACATGTGGCAGTGGGGATGAACCCAGGTGTTTGAATTCTGAAGTAGAAGGCCATTAGCTGGAGACAAAGAGGCGGGAGTGTGCATGAATCAGGCGCTTGCTGCATGTGTTCTTCGCTGAGCTCCCTTCGTGACCTTGTAGACGACCTCCATTTCTCACGTCAGAGAGCAAAGGCACCCCGGCCAGCTGCCAGGCCTTCGAAGGCCGTGAAAAGAGTGGGAGCAACAGGGGCTGCTGTTTGCAAGGAGTGAAGTTTCTTCCTCCTCCTTGAGCTCAGTGTTCAGAGTCCAAAGGAATCATACACTGTCTTCTCAGAAACAAACGCACTTCCTGTGAGTGTGTGGTCTGGTCAGGCTCATGGCTGGAAGTGACACAAGCATTACTCAACGTTGTGAGGCTGAAACAATGTGCAACACACTGACTGTCCGAGTATCGGGGAAGTCCCAGTGTCATCTTCAGGCTTAGCTGGATCCAGGGGTCAAATAATCTTGCTGATACTCAGCAGCAGCTGCTGCTGTTCCTGGCTCTGTGGCTGTCAGGTGGGCTCTCACCGTGTCAGTCCCCACTCACATCCTTAAAGCATGAACATCCCCTTCGCTTCTAGTACCCCGGATAGAATCCTGGGGAGGGATCCACGCCTGGAGAAGGCCCTGTCCTGGAGTGTCCACCCGCCTTGGCCAGGCAGCTGTGTGCTCTGACCAACCACCTTTCCAGGACCAGTCAGGAGGTGTGGGTGAGCCCGGCAGGAGGAAAGCAAAGTGAAGGGTGACTGGTGCATCTAGGAGACGTGCAGCGTGACATGTCAGCGAGTCGAGACTCCGCACCCAGGCCAAGTGCGCCCGCCCTCCTGCTCCTGCCAGCAGGACCCAGAGCTGCTGCAGCCTGCCTTGCAGAAGCATTTGCTTTCAAAGCCTGCATCTCTCCAGGGAAACTTGCCCTTGGCCCAAAGAGATGCCCCTGAAGCGACATTAGAAGCGGCACTGGATTGTGCCGTGGTGCTGAGGCTGAATCACCATCTCACCAGAGCAGGCTGCCCAGGGTAGGCATTGAGCATTGGCCAGGTAGAGGTGTGTAGGGGCATGCAGTGGGGTTGAGCGGTATGGGGAGCGCTTTGGCAGAGAGGTGTTGGAGCCAGGCCTGAATGTGTGGGTGTTTGCTGTGGTCAGAGGGCCAGATTCAGGACTGCGTACACAACCTGGGATACTGGGGAGGGAGGCTTCATTTTGCATGCCTTGTTTGAGCCGCTGAAAGCTGTTAAGGTGCGGGGGTGGGCATTGAAGGGAGGAGGGGTTGTGCGGGATGTGTCTGTGATCAAAGCAGATGGGAAGGAGGTGCCTGAGCCCCCTCCCTGGGCCTGGTGGACACAGCTTCCTGGTGGGTATGGGGGCTTCCCTTTATCCTGAGTCACAGCTGCAGGGCCGAAGGTGATGGCTTGCCCTGCCAGGCCTGGTGGGGTCTGTGGCAGGCAGTGGTTTCACATCAGAGTTCCCACTGTGGATGCACCAGGTGGGTCGGTGGGCAAGGGGACTCACTGTCCCCTGGCTCCTGTGGTTAGCACCACCAGAAACAGGAGCAGCAGGGGAGGAGGAGGCAGTAGCAGCGACAGCCAGCAGCTCCTCAGGCCCAGAGCTGCACTCAGACAGAGTGAGGGAAGCAGCCACCAGGCAAATCAAGGTGGGTGTGGCCCCTGCTGGCTGAGGGTCTCTCTCTGGCTGCTACTGTCCTCAGTGGAGGCTGAGGGCTCCTGCCTCATTTCCTCACCCCCCAACCACTTCTCAGGGAGCTGTGTGGCCAGTGCAGCCTTCCTGTTCTGTGCCCTGGGAGACAGGCTGCAGGCTGGGAGGTGGTGTGGTCTTGAAGAGGCCTAGGCCTAGTGGGGGCGAGGGTAGCACCTGAAGCACAGGGCCCTGGGTGTTCACTCCCTAGGGGCATGCAGGGATTTCTGGAAGCCCCGGGGGGGGGGGCCTGTGTCCCCTCCCCGACCCAGCTGGCCTGGTGTTTTCCTGCTGCTCCATTGCAACATCCCTTGGTCCACTCCCCCTCCCCATTCCCCTGCATCCCATCCCCTGTATCTTTTTCGTTAGTGTCTTCCCCAGGCCTTTCTCCACAGCAGAGCACCCCCACCTGAGTCCCCATCTCACTCCCTGTTCACCTCTTCTCTCCTCTCGGCTTCTCCAGGACCTCCTGACAAAACCGCTGTTTGGTTAGTGCTTGAGCCTGTGCTGCCCAGAGGCCTGACCTGTTAGTTCAGGACAGGTTCAGAGCGGGTTTCCCGCACTCATGCCTTCTCCCCAGCTTGGAGACCCTGAGAAGTGTGTCTGCACAGGATCTAGCTGCTGTTTTTGGAAGCCCCGTGTTCCCAGCAGGGACTCCTCCAAGGCCAGTTACTAGACTCTGTGTCTGAAGGAAGGGCCTGCACAACCTCCTTCCTCCCCAGCAGCTTTTCTGCTAGCATCTCACTGCATGAGTGCAGAAGCAGTGTAACAGGCACGTCCTGGGACTGCTCCCTGCAGGCTCCCAGTGCAGGGAGCGCAAATGTCTTCCCAGCACTGGGCCTGGCAGTTGGTTTTTCACCAGAGGAGGATGGCCAAAACCTGCTACTCCACCAGGAAGGGCTCAGGTGAGGTGGGAGTAGGAGACCCCCTCCCTTCCCCAGGAGCACCTGCTGCTTTCTGGGCCGTCTGCAGATCTGGCCCCTGCTTGTCGGCCATGTTCCCAGAAGCCCCGTGGGAGGCTAGCCAGGCAACTCTATCTCGCCCATTGGCAGCAGGGCAGGGACAGGGACAGGGTGGATCCCTTGCTTCCTAGAAGCTGCAGAGAGACTTTTCCGGTCAGTCAGCAGCACTGTTGTCCCCATGAGAAGCTGGGCTGGAGAAGGGGACCTGGGACTTTGGGACAGTCCCCCACCTCGCTCCCTTGGCTGTTTTCCTCCCTTCCCCATACAATGCACAATGAACGAGAACTTGGCAACTTTCAAAGAGGAAATGAGACAGATTGCCTGCAGACAGCCCTTTTAATATCTGAGAGGTTGATCACCAGGAGCAATGGAGAGAGGGCCTGAGCTGGCCTGACACTTGTCCTAGTGTGGCGACCTGTTCCACAGATGAGTGAATGAGTCCTCCTCCAGGTGACCTCGGGTGCACAGCTGTGCCTGGTGTTCCTGCTGAACTGGGCTGCCCTGGCTCAGTCACCAGCTGGACGGTGTGGGGCTGGAACCATCCTGCCCACGGTCCAGCCAGCTTTCCCCACAGCTGAAGCTACTCCAAGGTGCCTGCTACCACCCTGCAGCCTCTCTCCCTCTTTGAAACTGGTTGAGCTGGTGGGAGAAACAGCCAGTTAACAACCTAAGCGTGATCTGTCTGGTTCCATCAGCCACAGCCCCCTCTTGTCAGAGATGCTGTAGGCAATTCCCTTATTTTCAGGGAAGGAGGACAAATCCTTCCTCCCCTACTTCCTTCACAGGGCAGTCACCTGATGGGACAGCGTGGGAATAATGCCCTCTGACTTCCAGTCTGAGTCATAGGACGCCAGGAGTGGCAGTAGAGATAGCAGGTTGGGACTCAGACTGGCCTGAGTTCCAGCTCCAGTCTACTATACCTCCACACCACAATGGCAGGAAGAACTTCTGGCAGCCTCATATTCCTTTTTATTTTTATTTATTAACAGAGGGAAAGGCACACAAAGAGCTCTTCCATCTGCTGGTTCAGTCTGTACATGGCTGTAATGGGCTGGGCCAGGCTGAGCAGCCAGACCAAACCAGCGTCTCTGTGTGATGCTGGTGTTGGAGATAGCTACTTAGCCCATTGTACCCCTCACTGACCCTGGGCCTTGTCTAGCTGTGGTTGGACCCAGTGGTTGTCTTGTTGGGTATTGTGGGGACAGGGTTTGTGCGAACGTTTAGCACCACACCTACTGCATGGTGGGTGTCTGAGAAAGCATTGCCATGACTGCATCTAGAACCTTAGATTTGAGTTGGGGAAGAGAGGGGGTTGGGGTCTCACAGGGCTGCGTCAGCAGAGTGGATGCAATGGCGCTCCATGGTCTGTTTGTTCTTCCCTCTCATGTGCCCATCTGTCTGCTTAACATGCATCCTCCCATATACCTCTGTATCTGTGTGCCCCTCACTCCCGTGGCCACATAGCCTGTCATTCATCCCTTGCACATGTCAGCCAGGCTTGCCTCCTCAAGCCTTCCTCCAGGTTCCCTGAATGTGGTAGTACAGAAGTCCCACTTGACCTCTGACCTCCCCAGTCTCAGGAGGAAAACCACAAGACAAACCCATTTATTGATGAAGGGGGTGAGGATCCAGGCAGGGGAGGGGCCGGCAGCCCCAAGCAGTCATCTGGAGAAGAGGCATCTCAGGTGACTGTGCAGGGGGTCAGCACAAGGTCACAGTCCCTTGACAGATGAGCCAGCAGAAGCTCAGATTCCACATGGCAAAAGCAGCATGTTGCCCTTATGCCACGGTCTGCTGTGCTCTGCTGAACCCTACTCTTATGCTGCCTGCTATGGGACATTTCTGCCTAACAGGGCAGGGAATGTACTCTGGTCCCTTTTGCCCAGAGGGGCCAGGTCATGGCAGGATCACTTCAGCTCGCCTTATAGTGGCCTAAGCAGGTCACGTGGCCATGCATACCAGGGGAAAGCTGGGCCAGCACTGGTGATGAACTGCAGCCAGTCTTAGCATCCAGCTCCTACCCAGCCTGCCCATCCATGGCATGGTCCACACCTGCCCACACAGTGTCTGCAGTGTGGGATGCATGTGTGTTTCTGTGTGTGTCTATGTATGTTGGTCTGTGTGCAATGTTTTGGAGGGTGGTCTGTGGGTATTTGCGAGTCTGTGCCAGGTATGTGTGATATGTGTATGTGTGTAGTGACTCTGTGTCTGAGGGTGTGTGTATAGAGTTGTGGGGGCTTCTTTGGGTATCTGAGTCTGTGGAATGTGTGGTGTCTGTGGGTGTGTGCATGTATGTGTGAGCCTGTGTATGTGGGTTTGTGTGGAGTGTATACATGTGGGGGTCTGTTAGTTTGTGGTGTCTACTTAGATTTCAGGTGGGCATCCATAGCTTGTCTCAGGTTCTCAAAGGGTTCTCTAAAGTCAGAAACTGAGACCCCTGGGCTGGGAGATCCTCACAGCTCCTCCGCCTCACTGGTGTGCAGTGGGACAGGTGTGGGCAGCCCACAGTGCCTACCAGGATGCCCTCACCCCTGCCTGTCTGCACATCACTTGCTCCATAGCTAGAGTCCCTGACCCAGCCCTGGTGGCCTGACCCATGCTGTTGGCTGCTGGGTATGGGCTGCCCAGCCCAGTGAAGACTCCAAAGTCAGAGGTGCTAGACTGGGAAGAGCTGGGCTCAGCTATTAGGGAGGCTGCATCTGTGTGGATCTGGCTGGCCCAGCAGGCTAGGGAGTCTCCTGGTCACCATCTGCCACCTGCTGCCCTTGAGGCTTTTCTGCTTCTTTCTCCATGTCTCCTGCATTCCCAGGATCCCCTCCCTGGCAGAAGCAGGCACTGCTCATCAGCATCTCCAAGGGAACCCGACCACACCACTCATTCTTTCAGGCCCCATGGGGACAGTGGCAGGTAGAATATACTTGGTCCCCTCCCTGTGTTGTGATCAGTGGATGAGGAGAAAGAGCACAGCCTCCTCTGTCTCCTGCCCCTGTGAGGCTTGGCCATTCCATCCAGTGCCACCCCGGGGGCCCACTGTGCATCCTCAGGGTCACGTCCACACTGTACACCTGGCCATACCTCTTGTGTCCTTTGCTGCTGAGATAGATGAGCATGACTCTGTGTTTAAAATTATGCAAAGCGTGGTCACTGTGGTCGGAAGTCCTGGCTGAAACCAAGGTGTCAGTGGGGCTGCTTTCTTCTGAAAGCTCTGAAAGATGACCTCTCCTTGCTGTGTTTAGCATGTGCAACTACCTGACTTGTGGCCCCCTGACTTGGCCATCCTCTGCTTGCCTCTGCCCTGGATAGTCCAGCCAAACTGCCCATCCTAAAGATCCATATCCTCCCTCTTCCCCTCACCCCACCTCCACAGTTCCTTGCCACATCAGGGAGCTCATTCACAGCTGACTAGGAAAAGGACAGCTTGTGGGCCAGAGGTGCTGGAGCCAGCTGTAGGCAAGGAACCCTGTGGCAAGGAATCTCCCCCCAGCTCTGGCCCAAGGACACCACCTTGGTGTGGAATCAGCCCAGGCCAGGGGTCTATTGTTGAGCATTGATCAGCACACACTGGCCATGACTGCCCCAGACAGCTGCTGTTGGTCCAGCATGTGCATGTGTCCCATGAGCACCTTCCCTGGATCAGTTTATTATTTGCTATGTACTTTGTCATCCGAATGAACAAGAAGTGTCATGAGACCCAACACCCGGTCGGTGTTGATGGGTGGGAGCCATCCCCCCCTTGGGCAGCTTCTCCCCTCTGACCTGGACAGACGCCCTCGGCTTGTGTCATTGAAGACCACCAAGAGTATGGGGTGAGCCTCTGTGGGGTTTGAAATGAGTCTTAGCTGCACCTGCCACCTAGCTGGCTTGTTTGTTTAAGATGATTGGGGGACAAGAGGGGTCATTTGTGGCAAGACCCAGATGTCTGTGAGTGTAGGTGTCTGAATCTGTGTGGACTGGAGGTAGACTGGTTAAGATCCCTGTGAGCAGAGTGCCAAGTCCAGGGGTCTGATGGACAGTGAAGACTGTTTGTTTGGGGCATGGCGAGAGGGGAACTGAGAATGGTGCTGTGCTCTGGTCTGCAGCATGCTTTGGCTCAGCTGGGCTCAGTGCCCATGAGCCCACTGGGAAGGGGTCAGCCTCCTGACACGGCAGTAATCACTTCTCAGGGCTACACGCATGAACATGGGGTGGGCACTGCATCTCATGTAGCTAAAGCCGCCAACATCACTGTTGTTAGCAGGGCTGCTAGTGGGGAAGGTGGAAGCACTGCAGGCAGCAGGTAGGCCGTAGCTCCCTCAGGCTACATCGTGTTTGAGTAAACTTGACAATGGCAAGGGTGGTAATGGCACAGGTGGCCGAGTGCCACTCCATGTCCACTGGAGGACTCATTCCCACCTCTCAGAGAATCCTTGCAAAGGTGAGGTTGTTAACCACATTGTGCTGATGGGAGAAGGCAGTTTGAGCTGCTCAGGGCGCCAGGCTGAGAATCAGGTTTCATTCCTGTCCTGTTGGCTTTCACCTGCATCTGCCCAAGTGAGGGCAGACACCCCTAGCAAGGCATCATTGAGACTGATAAGAACATAGGTAGATGCCAGAGGCCCAGCCCTAAGGCAAGCCTGGTACATGGAAGGCCCCAGTTCCTAGCATCACCACCACCTAGCTTGCAGCCAGTTCACCCCAGCCCCTCCTGTGATGCCCGGATAACACCATCCAGCCAACAAGGTTGAAGCAGACACAGCACACACAAACAGCGGCCAAGTCTCATGTTCAGCCAAGTCCATGGTGAGCACACACATCTCCCAAAAGCTCGCTAGGGTCACAGGGCAGGACAGACTGGGGCTTGCTTGCTGGGCCTGTGAGATGCTCTGAGATGCTGCAAGCTGGTAACCACCTTGCCATCCTGTTTTTGTCCTTGCAGGCTGCCAACAGCTACCTGCGAGACCAGTGGTTCCATTCTCTGCAGTGGAAGGTAAGTTCTGCCCCAGCTGTTCAGCTGTGACATGGCTGGGAGGGTGTGAGTCCTGTGTGATCCACGGCTGGGAGGAGGATAGTCCAGCCAGGTGTGTTATGCCAGGCACTTCCTCCTCCAGTGTCTGATCTCTGGCTCTGCATACTGACCCTGTGTTCCTGCCCTGATGCCTGCTGGCCTGATAGCCAGGAGCCCTACAGCTGTTTGCTGGCTTCTTGAAGGGTCTTGGGACTGCTCCCTCCTGCACTGAGATGACCAGGGAAACCCAGACTTCAGGGGCTCCAGGTGCCTGGTTGGACGTAACTTCTGAAAACTGCACACTTGTCTGCTTGCCCACTCGCTTTTTCTGTGGGCTTCCCTTCTGTTCGGTTGTCTGGTGGGATCCCTGGCACAGGGAGTGCCATGGGCAAATGTCTGCAACAGGGTCCTTGGACACCCTGGCGTGGGGTTCCACTCTAGGGCCAGCTGGTCGGCCTTGCCTTGTCTCCCTGTCACTTTCTACCTCCTGATGGTTCTCGACACAAACTCTGACAAGCTGTTGTGGCCCCGGGAAACCAACAGGCAGTGACCGGGATGATTGGTAGCCATCCAAAGCTGTTGTCCTCATAGAGCCATGGAAGATGGCCGGCCGGCCTACATGGACATGGGAGGGCCACGGACAGGCTCAGGGTTTCTCTCATGCCTATGCAGGGACTCTCACCTCAGCAGGCAGGATGCACAGATACAACCCTGGGGAACTGTGACCCCCAGCCCAAGGGAGGCCTCTCCACTGCTTCCCAGTCAGCTGCCCATGCTCTCCTTTGGATCCATTGGGAAAACCCCAGAAGCTGAGTAGGCATCTCCGGTTTAGCTGCAAAGGAGAAGAAACTACCTCTTATGAGCTTCTGCAACATGCCAGGGCCCATGCCAGGCCCTTCATATCCATCTCGCTATCTCTACAACCTCGTGAGCTCCATTGCCACTGTTGCTCCCATTTTACAAGTGGGAAAGACGAGGCAGATGCAGTCCAAACCCCTTGGGGATAGTAAGGGACCAAGGCGCAGCTCACATGCATCTTCCCAGCACCTGTCTGTCCTGGGTGCAGTTGAGTAGGAAAGCACAAGAAGGCTTGGGAAGCATACCTATTCATGACCTCAGCAGGTGCTGCTGAGAGTTCATTTCCATGGGAGGACCATCCCCAGTGACTGGTTCTCAGTGTGCCCAGGTACAGGAATGCCCCAGGAAAGGCAGGCACAGATCAGGATCTGGTGGTTGTGTGTGGCAGTTAGAAGCTAGAGAAGTCAAGAGCAAGAAACATAGCTGGTGTTGGTAGCTGGGGGCCAAATGACCCCAGGACCTCCTCAGAGAATCTTCCATCTGTTTCTCTCGGTCAGTGACAGCCTGACTTCCATAGCTCACGACAGGGCAGAATGGACTTAGAGAGACACCATCTCCCTGGCAGACTGGGGAGAATGCCTCATCCAAACTGGGTCAAGTTCAAGGCCGGTGGGGGAGGCTGTCTTCAGGGGCATCTACAGGGCTCTGCTCTCTGCATTGCCCTGTTGAACATTCTCCACAGCAACAGCCAGTAGGCCATACCTGTGCAGCCTGTGACTTGTCACCTGGCCCCAAGGGATGACAGCCTGGGCACGGAAAGCAGAGTTTCAGGGGACACTGGACAAACTTGCAGCAATAAGATGTCAGGGTGTGCACAGAATTGTCTCAGGCAGACCTGGACACACTCAGTTATGACAGCATCCAGCTCTATTGGTAGTTGGTAAACTTAATCCGTTAGACAAAACAGAACAAAAGGAGCAAGGGAACCTAAGCCAGGGACGCTCAGGAATCGTCAGATGCCCAGTGGTCTGCCAGCCATTCTGCCTGGTAGAGGAAGGCAAGCTTTATGGTCCCTGTGTAAGCGTGGGCTGTATCTTAAGTACACATGACACACTGGCTGTTTTTCCCTTGGCAGATGCCCTCAGTACCCCCTGCAATAACTTAAGTATGTTGCCACCAGGTGGCAGTGGTATCTTAGTAGTGCACCCTGATTTGAGTCCTGTGACCCTTTGCCACTGCCTCATGCAGTGAGCTGGGAGAACTAGGTTTGAATCCCAAGCCTGTTGCTCTGTGGTCCTGTGGTCTATGTAGATTCCAGCAAGCACCCATTTATTTCAGGACAGTTACTGAGTCCCCACAGTATGCCAGGCCTGCCTGGCTAAAGGCTTTCTAATTCACTGTCAGTCAGCAAACAAGGGAGTCGAGGCCCAGAGTAGGCAAGGGAGTGAGCTGGCTCAGGCCCCTCTCCCCCTTGCAGTCCTATCCCAACCCTGGCCTAAGTATCCCAGAAGAGTCGAGGAAGGTAACCTGCATGACAAAGGCCTTTCCCAGGATCCCAAAGTGGCCCCCTGCCCTGAGTGACATCTGCACCCTCGAGCCACTTGTTTGCCCCCTATTGAGTCAGTGGCCTGGGTCCCACAGGTGAAGGATGTGGCCAGGGGCCACCAGCTCCTTCCTGTGACGGTCACAGACATTCTTCCTCTTGATCAGCTGCAGCACAGCAGGGATCACATGCCCATTGCGTGTTCAGAGCCACCACTGGGGGTGAGGGTGTCCCCCTCGGGGCCGGGGCGGTGCCCAGCTTCTCTCTTCCCCTCCAACCATGCCCTCTGGAAGGTAAGATTCTCTCACTCCCACTCCCACTTCACCCCATCCATGGAGAAAGGCTCTGCTTTCCCAGGCAGGGTGCTGGATGGGAAGCGGGGCCGCTGGGATATGAACTGTATGGCATCCCGGCGCGTTCAAGGCGAGTAACTTAACCACTATGCTACTGCGCTGGGCCCCCTAGCTAGGCTTTTATTTCTTTTAAATTATTGCAGTCAATTTCCAGATTAATAGTTGGGGGTGGAGTGTGTGTCTGTGTCTTTGGATAATTTGTCTCCAAAGGAATAGTTTGGTATTTGCTTGTGAGTCAGGGCTACCTGCCTTGATCTCTCAGTCCTGGCTCAACAACCTGCTGGTTGTGTGACCCTGGACCAGTTATTGTCTCTTTGGATTGCCTGTCCTGAATAAGATGGATTCATTCCCAAACCGAGTCCACTTAAGTCCTCTTGAGGATTGAGTAAGCTGGTAGCTGTGAAGAATCTCAGCAGCACCTGTGAAGTGGTGGTCCCCAGGACATGTTTATCCTTCATCTTCTCTGATGACCAGGGACCTGATTTCCCTTTGCTTAGAGGATTTTAGAAGAGAAAGCTCTAAGGGTTGGTAATAGGTTATAGTGAGTTAAGACACCACCTCCCATGCTGGCATCCTATGTGAGCACCAGTTCAAGTCCCAGTCATTACATTTCCAGTGTAGATCCCTGCTGATGCACCTGGGAAAACAGCAGAAGATGTCCGAATACTGGGCGCCTGCTGCCCGTGGGCAAGACCTGGAAGAAGGTCCTGGCTCCTGACTTCAGCCTGGCTCACAGCTCTGGCCACTGCTGCCATTTAGAGACTGAACTAGCAGATGGAAGATTTCTCTCTCTCTGTAAATAAAAATCTTTACACAATTAAAAGGGGAACAGCAGGCCCTAGAGAACGGAAGGCAGGTATAGGAGACATACTCAGCACACCTGCTACCGACCACCGGTGACCACAGCAGGCATCACTCATCAGTCACTCTATATTTTCCCCTGAGTCAGAATTCTCGCTGCCTTGGTTGACAGGGAGTGACATGTCCCCACTGCCCGTTGTAGTGTCCCCAAGCCCATGCAGCTTTAAGTGTTGCTGGAATCCAGGTCCAATGCTATTGTCTGTGACCTGTGCCAGCCTTGCAGAGTATCCAGGTTGGTGCACTGGGCCCAAGTTGCCCTGCATGGGGCCACGGGTGTGCTGCAAGCATCTGCTGGGTTAGAAAGACAGATGAAGCCAGGCCATGAGGTATGGCCAGCCAAGCCGTGGCTTCTGGCTTCCCAGGTGACAGGCAAGAATTCCTAGCAGATTAGTTGTTGGCACTTGGTCAGGGAAGGCTTTGTGACCTGTTAAGGGAATCAGAGAGCATCCACGGAGAGCTGGGAAAGAGGGGGCTTACCCACAAGCCCGCAGGAGGGGCCTCAACTGAGACACAGAGGTCGCGGGGGACAGCCGGGGGCTTCTCCCTGCCAGGTGCTCAGTGGGGCCCCAGCTGTTGGCTCCCTGCAAAGGCAGCAGTCTGCAGCAGCTCCCAGCACAGCCTGGGCCCCTCTTCTGAGTCACCAGGGACCCTGTAGCTAATGACAAGGGGAACTTCAGGGATTGGAAACTAACAAGTGGCAGAGGGCTGGGTGGCCTTTCGGGAGGAGAGCTCCTGTTCTCCCCGGCTTTCCCTGCAAAAGAAGGAGAAGAGTTAGTTAGTTAGTTAGTTAGTTAGTTAGTTGCTGGGCACCTACTGGAGGCTTTCTTGTGCTGTCTCCATGAGATCTCTGCTGCTGTTGATGAGACTTCGTTGTTTTTCAGATTTGTTGATTTGAAAGTAGAGTTGGAGAGGGTAAGGGTGAGAATCTGCACCTTCATCTTTGGGTTGGTTCACTCCCCTAAATGGCCTGACAGCCAGAGCTGGAAACTCCAGCCAGGTCTCACACATGAGTGTCGGTGTTCCAAGTATTTATGCCATTCCCATTGCCTTCCTAGATGCATTAACAGGGAGATGGACTTGAAGTAGAGAAGGTGAGGCTCAAACTGGCATTCATGAGCATGCCTGCATTGCAAGAAGTGCATTAACTTGATGCACCCATCACAGGCCCCTGTTGAGGTCCACTGGAACCTGAGGGATGGGTCAGCGTCACTTACCTGGAAACAGCTGAGTTTTGAAGTTAGCATGGGGGTAACAGGCCTGGGTGGAGGGGTCGTTGAGTCTTACAACTTTGGATTTGGCCCTGTCGTGAACTTAAAGAGTGAGGGTGCAGGTGGTTGAACTCACAGGGCACCATATGTCCTCATCTGGAGTACTCTTGGGGACAATTCTTGGTCCTTTCTAAAGTGAACCTTTCCTAAAAGGATAAT